GGGTGCCTGTAATCCCAGCTACTTGGGAGGCTGAGGCAGGAGAATTGCTTGAACCCAGGAGGCGGAGGTTGCCGTGGACCAAGATTGTGCCATTATACTCCAACCTGGGCAACAAGAGTGAAACTTCAACTCAAATAAAAAAAAAATACAAAATGAATAAAGTAAGTGGGCTCCCCACATTCTAAGTTCAGTTAAAAAGAACAATAGTCTCCAGAGGGCATGGGAGGTTACTCCACAATTTAAATATTATGTCTTTCTATTAAGGAACATAAGGGCTATCCATCATCCATAGAAAGTTTGCATACTGTGTTTTCAGCTCACAGGTGTGTGTGAAGGATCTGTTCATACCATACCTAGAGTGTCACATGGTTCATTCTTCCAAGAACAAATATCAAATCCCGTGAGTAAGATGGCATGATCATGTCTCTTGCCATTCTTTCCAATGAGGGCAGACTGCCATTGACAAAAGCTATTCAGAGACTGGTCTGCATGATGGTTGATCAATAATCCTCCCTATGGGAAACCCACACAAATCAAAGTGTGAATTTGTCACAGAGATGAGAATGCTGAATCATTCCATTTGTACAGGCAAACACAGAAACTTATTTCTAGGGAAAAAGATCACTAGAGGAAAACACTTGAGCTAAGGTAGGAGATGGGAAAATATCTATTTTAGGTAAATGCTCACAATATTTAAAGCAACTACAAAGTTTCTCTAGTGTGGTTTATGATTGATTATAGTTCTACAAAAAATAACCTGGCATCACTTAGAACACCTTTGTTCATCTCATCTGGTACTACCTTTATAAAACCGTTACAACTTTTAAAACAGGAAAATAAATTAATGGTGATGAAGTTCAATGGCTTTTCCATAAAGCCTTATCATTATTTCCATAGATGTCGAAATTCTCAGCAAAGCGTCTGGCACATCATAGGTTATAGTCAATCAATCAATATAATGAAAATCAATATAATGAAAATTCACAGAATGAATAAACAAATGATGATATGATTCCAAAGGATAAGAGAGGACCTACCCTTAAAATAATCATCTGTCAAATGTTTGCTTAGTTGAAACTATTGACTTGGCCAAGTTGAAAGTTGACAGACAAGATCTTTAATTATCAGTTAATTAGGATGTGGCTGGCTTCAGTGTCCTTGGGCAACCTATTAGTAGACTAAAGACAAAAGTGTCTCCTGATCAGCACGCATCCTTCCTATCTCTCTAAAATTCCAAAAACCATTTGACAAGCTGTTAACTTCTGTAGCTCTCCACAGCTGGGCAATTAGATCAATTTTTGTCTTGTCTGTGTCTTCCTGCTTTTTATGTTTTTTTATTGGGGTTACAGAAGAAGAGGAAGAGCCTCGGGGGACTTAAAAAAATACCCATTTGAATGGTAATCACTATCTCAGAGAAACAGAGTTTAAACATCAAAACACTACAAAGCAGTGAGTACCATGTAATTTAACACTTTATTACATGTTCCGGTTTTCAAAATTTGCCCCATGTTTGTGTCTTGCATCTCACTGTGATCAATTCAAGGGCAGCTAAATATCCCTTGTTTATTCCCTGTATTACCTAAGATGGTACTGGGGAGACAGCAGGTTTACTACAATAATTTTCTGATGCCTTATTTTCAGTATATTTTTGAAATATCCTTCTGCATCTACCAGCAATTACTCAGCATACCAAACTTGCAAAATCTAGCTAATGCTTAAATCTATGACCAAATTCACCTTCTTTGTGAAGCCTACATAATATTTATATTTTTATGTAACATATTTATGTTTCATATTTTTATTTATATTATATATTTATATATTTAATACTTTATGTACCATTATTTATGTATATATATGCACATATAATATAAATACATTTAAATATAAATTTTTTCTGGTGCTTTAGTTTAATTATGTGATTACACAATCTTTTAAGATT